GTCCAGGCTCCTCTGGGTGGGGCCCGCCTGCTGCAGTCACCTGGTGCCTTAGGCCTCGGGCTGGAGGCGGGGGCACGCGGCCCCTCCTCTTAAAGGCGGCGGGAGTGGGGTTGGACGGGCCCGCAGGGTATTAAAGAGACACACGAGCGGCTTTTCTGAGTGCCTCCCAGTTACTGAGCGAAGGTGCGGCGGCAGGACTCTGCCAGGGGCCGGGAGCCTGCGGGAAACAGGGGTGGGGGCCCGAGGAGCCGGCCACCCCGGGTAAGACTGCAGTCCTCTGGGCCGAATTCTGACTGCTTCTCTGACACTCCCCCCGCCCCCCATTTCTCCCCGAGCCTCGGGCTCCCTCCTCTTTGAATCCCCTTCCCCTCCCCACTCTCCTCCCTGAACCCCCTCTTCCCCTCCAACTCCCTCCCCTTCCCTATTCACAAATACTAGCTGGTAAATGCCTCCCGCACGCCTGACCTTTTACATACCCGAGTCCACTTAATCCCGGGGCCGGCAGCTCGCCAGAGGACACACAGCCAGAGGAGGGGCGGCTGGCATGAGGGCTGCGAAGAAGCGGCTCTCTCTGGTTTGGGTGGTTACTGGAGAGGAGCATCCACCCCCGGCTGGGGGGACTGACCCTGCCCACCTAGAGTTTAAAGGCCAGACAGCCCAATAAAGCAGCAAAGCGACTTCAAGGATGAGCAGGGGTCATTGGAGCTGCCTTTTCCTCAACTAAAATTAACCCAGAGTTGAGAGGGCTCTGAAAGAGCTACAATAGTATAGCCACCGGCATGGGGCTCTCACTGTGCCCCAAGCACTGTGCCCTCGTGTTGCCGATATTCTGGTGGGAAAGACGCCAGATAGATACACAAAAGGAACATAAGTCAGGGAGTGAGGGAGTGAGCTGTTCTGCTCTCTGGGGAGAAGCATTCTAGGTAGAGAGGACAGTAAGTGAAAAGGCCCTGAGGAAGGATTCTGTGTGAAAGCAAGATGGCTGGACTCAGCAGAGTGCAGGGAGCCTGTGGTAGTCCTGGCTAATTGGGGGGGGGGGGGGACTATCCACTGGGTTAAAAACATCATTCTATTTATATCGGTACCTTCCTCTACTTAAAATCTCTATGGCCCCCCACTATCATAGGACAAAACAAACACCTTGATCTGATGTTGCAGGTCCTTCATGATGCTCCCCCTGCTTCCATCATTACTTTCACCACACTGTGACTCAACAACAATAATAGTACCATTCACACATTGACTCTCACTATGGGCCAGGCAACGTGTTAAACATTTTACCTGTATCTCACTTAATCCTCAAGCAACCCTAGGAGGGAACCCTTGGTGCCCAAGGTCACCAGCTTGCAAGCAGCGGGGCCGTGATTTGAATCCAGGCAGTCTGGCTGCGGACCCCACCCTCCTAATTCCTACAACTCGGCCACTTAGGCAAATGAAGGGATCCGTCTGATACACCAACGGCCTCTGCTTTGATGCAATTATTTTGTATTATTTAAATAATTTTGTATTTAATCATGTGAAATGCTTTCTGCCCCATAGGAGCGCTTCAGGCCCGAGTTTGAATCCTGGCATGACTAGAAGTGTCCGAACTGGGTGGCTGCTGGAATATGGGGACAGAGGGTGGGGAGCATGAAGGCCCCTCTGACAGGGTCACATGAAGGACAGTGCTACCAGCCTCTGGCCAATGTGGCTAGGCGCCCAGCTCTGCACACTCACTGCAGAGGGGGTGGCTTCTCTCTTGGAGCCTCAGTTTCCCCATGTACACAGCAAAGGGGGGAGCCGTCCGAGCTACTTGACCTCTTTCAGATCACAAACCCCAGGTGACAATTTAATGACAGATACAAACTAGAAAAATGCAGAGACACTCAGGGGGATCACAGACCCCACCAGGAACCCCTAGACTCTGGCAGTAGCTGTTGTTTAGGCTCCTGGGCTCTTGGGATAGAGAGACACAGGTTTGGATCCTGGCTCCCCCACCTATTAGCCGTGAGACCGCGTTATAGGGCTCTCCCCTCTCAGCTTCAGTCTTCTTCACAGTAAAGGAGGTAATTACACTGATCTCACGCGCTGCCTCAAGCACCAACCCAGGTCAGTGCAGGAACCGCTCTCGCAGGCCGCACCGGTGAGCATCCATAAAGGGGGCTCCCAAGGTTTAAGGAAATCGCTGCCCTCGTGTGGCCCATGGACCCCCTGGATCAGAATCACATTCTACAAGTCCAGGTGGACTTAGTTTGAGAAGCACGACACCTTTCCAGCCTCTACGGGCCAGTTCTGCAAAGGGGCCCATGACTGTCTAGCCAGCTGGCTGGGAAGAGCAGAAAGCAGGTGCAGCGGAGGGGCCATGGACGCTAGCCCCCCCCCACACACACACACACACACCACCACCACCACCCCTGGGCACGGCAGAGCCCTGGCTGTCCCACGCCTTGCCCCCAATGGGCCTTGGCGTCCCTGGCCCCTCCAGCTGACCTGTGCAGGAGGCCCCACGCCCTCTGGGCCAGGCTACACGGGGAGGGACCAAAGCAAAGGGCCTCCGGGGAGAAGGGACAGAAAGGAAAGTGAAACCTGCCCGGCCAGACTTTCGCTTTCGCTGCCTCCACGCACCACCCAGGTGGCCCTGCTGTCGCCCTTCGCGCTGGGGGCCCTGTCGCTGCGGGCCCAGAGCTGACCCCCAGCCCTGCATCCCCGATGGCCGGCGACCCCTGGCGGAGGGAGGAAGGGAAGGTCCCCGACGGCGACGGCGGACGACCCACGGCGGGGGCCGGGGGTCCCCTGCGGCTCCGTGACTGGCTGGTGTTGCAGGTCGAGAGCGGGAGCTACCCGGGGTTGCGCTGGGAGGACGAGGGCAAGACCCTCTTCCGCATCCCCTGGAAGCACGCGGCCAAGCAGGGGTACCAGGCGCAGCAGGACGCGGCGCTCTTCAGGGTAAGGGGCAGGGGCTGGCCGGGAGGGCTGTGGATGAGCACTGGCGACAACGCGCTGGGTGACCTGGGCCGCTGGCCTGGCCCTCAGCCTCCATCGTCTCTACTGTTCTCCACGGATGGAGGCCCTCAGACTCCCTCTTAAAACAGCAGCCCCGTGGCTGCATGACCGCACCGACCCAACCCTACGTCTCACAGAGGCCTCTCCTCCCTCTCCACTGCGTGAAATTAGGTGCCATGGATGGGAACTCCCTCCGCTTGGGGACATTTTCCATGCTTCCCAGCACCAGCCCTTCTCAGGGGCCTACCCCTCCAGGGCTGCCTCCCTTTCTTCAGTCATCATTCACTTCCCATAACGTGTAAGGTCCAGACTTTCCTGTACGCAATAAGGAACCAACCAACCAACCAACCACATATCAGGCCACCAGCACCCCAAACACCGCACTGTCTCTAGCTCCCGATCCTCTGGTCTCCCCGTCTCCTGGAAAGAGTCTCCTGGCCACCAACTCCCTCACTCATAGCCCCCCAATTCCTTCTCCCCGTCCCCTGCCCCTTCTGGCTTCTGTCCCTCCTGCGCATGTTTTTAGGTGCCAAATCTAAGGATGCCATCACTGTCATCTTCTTTGACCCCTGGGCGGGGGGGGGTGCAGTCTGGATCTGGGGCACCCTCCCTCCTCCTTGAAACACACTCACTTGGTTTCCAGAATCTCTGCCTCCCCTCACACACACACCCTGCCCTCCATTGTTCTCCTACCTTCATGGCCCCTGCTTCTCAGCCGCCAACCCCTCCTCTCCTATTTTGGGGCTCTCAGCATCCACCCCTGGACTTTCCTCTTCATGTCCCATTCTCCCCTTCCACAGCCTCAGCATGGAGCCCAAGCCTGTTGGTCTCATAGTCCCCAGACCTCTCAAACTCAGCATATCCTCAACACCACGCTCATCAGCTTGCCCCTACCAGCATCGGTTTCTCGAAATGGAATATTGCACACATTGCCACCCAGACCCCAGAGCCAGGGACCTGAGTCCTGGCTTCCTTCCTCCCTTCCAATCTCATTCTTCTCCACTACCAAGGCTGCTGGCTCTTCCCACAGAACCTTCTTCCATCCGTCGACTTGGACCCATTCTACAATCTCTCACCAGGACATCTGCTGTGACCGCATCGAACTCCCTGGTCCCCCCTGTCTCTCAGCTCTCCCCTCAGTCCTCCGGAGGGATCTTTCTAAATGTAAATCTGGCCTTGCTACTCCCCTACTCGGAATCCTCCCATAGCTCTGCATTGCCCTTGTGGTAAAGTCCCAACTCTTTATCGTCCCTGACCTCATCTCTCTCCACTCCCTCCCCTCCCCAACTGTGGACCCAGCCTGAGAGTTCTTTCTGTTTCCAAACGCTTCCTGGCTCTCTCACCGTTGGACCTTGGCACCTGCTGTTCCCTCTGCTAGAGCACCTTCATCTTCATGTTCACCTGCCAACTGTCATCGGGCTCAGCTTAAACGCTTCTTCCTCAAGAGTCTCCCC